TGCATTGAGACGATGGCTACTTAGAATAGTCATGGGAAATATCACATGTCTAAGAGTTTAGAAAATAATACATATATTAGTCTGAATATATGTGAATACATGACAGCAAATATTTGCTCGTACATGAGTTAATGTTTCCTGTATACCTGAGTGTGAGTATCTGGGTATATATGATTGCCATCTCTCAATGTATTTATCTATGTAGAGGAAGAGGTATTAGCGTATCTACGTTTATGTGACAGGCATGCAGGATGGTATTCTCCCGAGGGTGGCTTGGCACTGTCTTGGTGATGTTTGTTTTGTTTCTGGCACAGTGCCACTCTTCTGCTCCCTGCCGCCTCCACCCCCAGCATCCCTCCCCCAGCATCCCTCTCTCCAGCATCCCTCTCGCCTTCTCATCTCCCTTTCCCAGTCACTATCCTCCTCCCTTCACATACCTTCAACTATCCTCTGTCCTTCTCCCTTCACTTTTCAATATTCCCTATCCACTTCCTCTTACTTTGTTTCCCTCCATTCCCTCTCTTCCATCTCTCTCACCGACCTTCCTCAATCTTCTATCCTTCTTTCCTCACGTACCTTTCCCTATTCTCTAACCTCCTCTCCCAAAATTTCATCTTAACGACTCACAGTAATACCATATTTATACAAATATTTTCCTTAAATGTTACCTTATAACTACAATTTTCTTTTAATATATATATATATATATATATATATATATATATATATATATATATATATATATATATATATATATATATATATATATGGCTCCAAATGCGTACGTTTTTTAAAGCCTTTGTCAGGCGTCATCAGTTCGTATATACTTCCGAACTTTTTTTATATTTTGACACAAGAGTTAATCCTGCAGTTTGTGAATTGCGTTATTATAAATTTGCTTTTTAGGTTAAATAGTGTTTTATGTGCGATTATGTACAGTGGAACCTGAGGCCAGGGTTCGTCAAGCATTTACACAAGCACTTGCGAAACCTGTACATCTTTCTACAATCATGGTGGCCTTGTTTGCATTTACTGCTTTTAACTCTGACTTGTGATCTCTGCCCATCATAGACTACATGTACCCTTTATTTGTATAATCCCAATCATTTAGGGGAGCCGGTGGCTGAGCGGACAGAACACTTTACGCGTGATCCTGTGGTCCCGGGTTCCATCCTAAGCGCCGGCGTGAAAACAATGGACAGAGTTTCTTTCACCCTGATTCCCCTGTTAGCTAGCAGTAAACAGGTACCTGGGAGTTAGTCAGCTGTCACGGGCTGATTCCTGGGGGTGGAGGCCTGGTCGAGGACCGGGCCGCGGGGACACTAAGCCCCGAAATCATCTCAAGATAACCATCTCAAGATAACCCTACGTCCTTCCACCCTCTAATCAATCCCCCTAAAAAAAAAGATTAGTTATCACTGGTTTAACTCGAACCCTTTATGTTTTTTGGGGGCATGCATGACAGCGGGGTGGACAGCGCTTCGGATTCGTAGTCCTGAGGTTCCGGGTTCGATCCCCGGTGGCGGCGGCAAAATGGGCAAAATCTTTCTTTCACCCTGATGCCCCTGTTACCTAGCAGTAAATCGGTACCTGGGAGTTAGACAGCTGGTACGGGCTGCTTCCTGTGAGGTGTGTAACAAAAAGGAGGCCTGGTTGAGGACCGGGCCGCGGGGACGCTAAGCCCCGAAATCATCTCAAGATAACCTCAAGATCTCAAGAAGCATTAACGTACAGACTGCCAAATACATAACAAAAATATTTAGAGTATAAATATGAAAACAAATACAAATAAATTAAATAACAGATGGACAGATCCATTAACAGGTGGATAGACAGATCCATTAACAGGTGGATAGACAGATCCATTAACAGGTGGAGAGACAGATCCATTAACAGGTGGATAGACAGATCCATTAACAGGTGGAGAGACAGATTCATTAACAGGTGGATAGACAGATCCATTAACAGGTGGATAGACAGATCCATTACCAGGTGGATAGAGAGATCCATTAACAGGTGGATAGAGAGATCCATTAACAGGTGGGGGAGACTAATGAAGAAACAATGTCAGTACAATGAGCCCCTTCCACCCTCACTGTGGGGAGAGTGAAAGGAGTCATTGTAGTGACCCAAGCATCAAGGTCCAGTAGGATTATTATTATTATTACTCACAGAGTAATCACACTAACGTGATGCATCAATGAGACAATTCATAGCTGTGATGAGGGTTCGAACCTATTCCTGGGAATTCCCAGACACACACCCCAGGCAATTTTAATAATAATATTATTATCATTATTATTATTATTATTTTCATTAACAGACGTGGCCACAAACTTACATTGCTAACCAACATATATACATTTTTCTTCTGTCCTCCATTGACAAGGTTAGAGATCTGTTGAGTATTTCTCCCAGCACCGAATCACTTCCATTATCTATCCCTATATCCCTCCCCCACATCTCTATCCCTCCCCCACATCTCTATCCCTAACATTCACCCTTTCTCTATCCCTCCCATTCACCCTTTATCTTAGCTTTCCTCCCTTGAACATAATAATAACATGGTGCGCTCTGACAAGACACTGACACAAGGCATATCTACTATCACTTCACTCGCGGTCTGGAGACTGGGGTCTCCTTGTCGTAAGCAGTGATGTTGCTCCCTTGACGGTGGCCGCAGCTGCTTTCATCACATATTTACATGAGAAGCTTTGGGGTGGGTGCTTACTTGTTGCTCATCAAAGAATGGCTGGCTTTGATTATGAGGTAATAGGTTTATGGGTCAAGATCAAAGGGTAAATAATAGCTTAAATTAATAACCTGGGAGTTACTATAATTCGCAGGTAGTTTAGAATGACCATCAAGATGCACATGGTGAATTGAATCGTCGTGTGTAGCTTTCTTGATCGAGATTATTCTTAATATAAATTATTGTGTTATTAAGACACTCAGTATGGTAAAGTAATTGTCAGGAGAGAACTCGAAGCCAGTAGGATAATATGGGAGAAACTCACTAATTTCTCCAAGTGTAGCATTATTTACATAAGGGCTTTTGCATCCCCAGGATTCAACTTTCGATACTGAAGCCTACATAATTACTACTAGGTGAAAAGAGGCATCGAGTGTTAGAAAACGCGTCCAAATATCTGGCGCTGCCCGGGAAACAAACCCAGAACCAATCAGTCGTGAGCTTAGTGAACTAACGAACGCATGCAAGTGAAAGCATCAAAGGGAAAATATATAGATGTGACGAGAGGAAAAGGCAAAAGAAAACGCTCAGTTAAAATTAGCTTTCCAAGAATTAATTCTCGTGCTATTCACACAATGAATAAATCTTTCTGACTTGGATGAAGGAACACTTATTTTTTGTACACGCGTGTGACAGACCGTATTTAATTTAATGTGCTTGAGGGATTCAATTAAGGAAAATGTATAAGAATAGTTATAACCCGCCAAAGCTACGACGTTTTGGCGGGTTTGAATTGTTCGAACGTTACTACAACGTTCGAACACGGTTTAACACCTAACAATTGTAACAAGCAATATAGCAAGTTGTAACAACGTTCTAATAAGTCATAAAAACATTATAATAAGATGTAACAACTTTATTACAAGTTGTGACAAGGGAATCATAGGGACGATAGGCTGTGTTTGAAGGGAAGGGGAATATCTGATGTACTTGGCGGAAGGGGTGAAGGACACGTTTTCTTGACCAATACCCAACACACAATCTTCAAAAGCATCCTCCCAGTACCACCTATACGGTCAACAAATGTCATCGAGGCCATACATTTAGCAATACAATTAAACATCAGCCTGGCCTCATCAAAACATTGCAGTAACAAATTTAAATGAACATTCTCTTCTGTTTGTGTTCGCTCACTTTTAATTGTATCAATATTTTATCTTAATTAATATATATATTCGTGAAGGAGAGAGAGAGAGAGAGAGAGAGAGAGAGAGAGAGAGAGAGAGAGAGAGAGAGAGAGAGAGAGAGAGAGAGAGAGAGAGAGAGAGAGAGAGAGAGAGAGAGAGAGAAATCTACACTATATACATCAATCGAAATTAAATTTTCAATTAATTATCTTCCAACCACTGCATCTTGTTTCTGTAGAGAAGAATACTCTCACCAGTAGTTGCTACGACCCCTAAATATTACAGCATCAGTGGAGAGGAGAGGTAGGGGGGATGCAGGTTCTGGGTAGGGGAAAAGAGAGGTGGTGAAGGGTGGACGAGAATTGAAGGCGGAGGCGGGGTTCCAATAAATGGCCTACTTTTAGAACAGCGAAGGAAACCATTACTGAAGCAAAATATCCGTCGAACATCGACCAAGAGCAGCCGACTACACACACCTCATGGACTGATATAACGGCGCGAAAACAAGGATAAAGGTACTCGGAGCGAAATAATTTGGGTATACCTGATTTCAAAGGTAGTATGTTAGCCGACAACAGGAAAGTTCTCCACTAAAAGGCAGTCCTGTGTGTGGAGGCTTTGGCCGGAACGTGGCAAATCCTGGAGCAGCATTTATCGTGTATGTGGCGAGGAATGAAGAGCGTAAGTGTGACAGGTTTAGAGAGCCATAATTCTGGTTGACGTACAAGAGGCTCTGCTGCGGATGCGCTTACTGCTCGCAGCCAGCCATTTCCACCCTACACGCGCGCTCCGGTATGCATTATTCACAAACACCTTTTGGGGAAAATACGCAACACCATCAGGCCCATTCGGTGTTTTTTCTTGGGGTACTCGTGTGACTTCGCTGCGCGTGCGCACTTGCAGTCTAGCGCGCAAGCTTTGGGACATTTTAATGACTAACGTCCCTGATGGAGTAAATGGGTCAGTGATGTCTGAGTTGTGCCCTTTTGTGCAAGGATTCTGCTGTTAATGGGTGAGCTACGGAGGGAGCAGACGAGACCAGAGCTCAGCGAACGAAGTAAAAATCGATAGTGCAGCAGGAGGGTCGGAGTGGGACGGTGAGAGGTGGGCTAGGAGGGATGCCAGTGTGTCAGCCAGTCCAGTGGCGACCGTGGCAGGGGCAGCACGTCGCGCTCCGCTCTGCGCCCGTTACCGCCACTTGATTCTCACGCCCGTGTGTCGAACCCTCCAAGGCTGCTTCCGCCGCAAGCCTTGTTCTCTCCTTGTTTGTGTCACCTCTGACCTCTAGTAGCCTCACCTAGCAAGATTCCTAAACCAAACTTTCTAAGAAGCGAGCGAGTGCGAGAATTAAGCATTAGCCCTTAACTTTCCCGGTCCCTGAACCCTAAACCCAAGGTGGGTGTTGACCCCCCGGGAGGCTGAGCCAGGTGGAAGCAGGTCATCTGAGACGTGTCATCTGGTGTCACACACTGCCACCCTCACCACACACCTGGCGCCCCCTCTCACAGAGACGTAACCCATCGGTCCTACCCTACATGACCACGTGAAGGGGCAAGCCGTAATTGCCATGCAAATATAACAAGCTGATCCTGGGTGCCATGTCCCGAGAGCGCCGGCCTTGACCTCCTCCCTGGCCTCAGTCAGTGACCCAGTCAGCCCAACACAAGGTAAGTGTCCGAGGAAGCATTGCTCAGAGGGGAAAGAGGGGACCCGTCGACAACGTACGATGGGCTTCCTAACCCGTGGCCTTGGACTAAGAATACAAACACAACGTCTGACAGTTAGGTCTCGTAGTGTTCATTCATCCGTCTCTCCCGCAGCCGTTTGTGGCTGACAGTAACATAATGTGTGTCAAGATTAATGACTTTTTATTTTTTGTTTTGTTATTACGTGCAGCTCAAAATAGTTATCAGTTGTACGTTGGGGGACTTTGACCTGCTGCAATTTGGTCCTTTTGTTTTGAATTGATTTCCGAATAAGGGCAAGTATGTTGCCATGCTTGGGGAGGGGGTGGGGGGGGGGCGTCTGATGGAACACAGATGTCATTTGCAGCTGTCATCTCTTCTCTCTCGTCTGTCAGTTGACAGACTGTGAATGACACGGGCTCTTGACCTCCCCCTCACTGCTCTGTCCGATTGTCTGTGGGTGTGACATGCTACACTGACAAGTGCTGACTCTGGGGGGTTTGACGTGATATACTGATAGGTGTAGTCTCTGGGGGTGTGCCCTAGTACACTGATAGGTGTAGTCTCTGGGGTGTGTCCTAGTACACTGATAGATGTAGTCTCTGGGGTGTGTCCTAGTACACTGATAGATGTAGTCTCTGGGGTGTGTCCTAGTACACTGATAGGTGTAGTCTCTGGGGGTTTGTCCTAGTACACTGATAGGTGTACTCTCTGGGGTGTGCTCTAGTACACTGATGTGTACGCTCTGGGGGTGTGATGTAATACACTGACAAGTGTACACTCCTGGGGGTGTAGCTGAGAAAGGCTCGTGCAGAAGATAGGGACCCGCACTCTTGTGCAGTGGCAGGTGTAGGTGATCAGGTGTAGCTGGTATGTGTATACTCTCCGTTGTGACTAGTGTATACTTCTCATATACTAACGTGTATAGCTCCTATACAATCTTTAACTGGCATACATCACAGAATTTCTGGCTTGGTAGCACCTAAGAAGAACTTGATGTACAGAGATAAGTCCCTGTACATCTTGGGATGCACAGGTATACACATCCACCGAGCCGTGACAGGCATGTATACCGTGTATACGGCTTCTCGGTATACATACACGACAGAGTTTACGTTGATCCTAAACAATGTTCATGACTAAAGTATACTTGCTTTCGGCAAGCTCAGCAAGCAATTAGGGTGGACTTAATGGCTCTACCGCTGTTGATAGGCCCTAAATCACACCAGGATGTTGGGGGGGGGGGGTGTAACCAGTGTGTACTAAGGGTGTACTGTTGTACAGTATACAGAGAGGATGTACGTATTGAATAGTTCGATTTGTGAAGCAATTATGCATGCGGGCCGCACCAAGCAACAGCCTGTTGGAACACATTATCACAAGGCAAGATTGGCTGCAGAAAGGGCTTGAGGGGAGTAGAATAAATCGTAGAACCCACTCCAGGTATACTCCAGGTATGGAGGATATAATTGGCTCCAGTATTAAGCTTAGAGTGTACGAAACAGTGTACATTTTGTACACCGTAGAGACGCACAGTACCTGTACATCAGACACACTTGGTAACTGTAACTATTGAGTCATATTATATATATATATATATATATATATATATATATATATATATATATATATATATATATATATATATATATATATATATATGTCGTATCTAGTAGCCAGACCGCACTTCTCAGCCTACTATGCAAGGCCCGATTTGCCTAATAAGCTAAGTTTTCATGAATTAATTGTTTTTTTTCGACTACCTAACCTACCTAACCTAACCTAACCTAACTTTTTCGGCTATCTAACCTAACCTAACCTATAGAGATAGGTTAGGTTAGGTTAGGTTAGGTAGGGTTGGTTAGGTTCGGTCATATACCTACGTTAATTTTAACTCCAATAAAAGAAAATTGACCTCATACATAATGAAATGGGTAGCTTTATCATTTCATAAGAAAAAAATTAGAGAAAATATATTAATTCAGGAAAACTTGGCTTATTAGGCAAATCGGGCCTTGCATAGAAGGTCGAGAAGTGCGTTCTGGCTACTAGGTACATTATATATATATATATATATATATATATATATATATATATATATATATATATATATATATATATATATATATATATATATATATATATACTGCATTAGATAAGTAGGCTATCTGATCAGTACTTCAGTGGTGTAAGTGCAGGTGTGAGGTGTTCATCATGTTACACAGTATCATATTACACAGCTGCAGGTGTACATAATGTTACACACCTGCAGGTGTGAGGTGTGCATCATGTTACACACTTGCAGGTCTGTGGTGGGTGTTTAGCACCTGTTAAGCTTGGAAATATGTGAAATACGTCCCCCAATATGTGATATACATTCTGGGGGACGTGCTGGCGCCTGTACACTCTCTGGGGGACGTGCTGGTTGCTGTACACTCTCTGGGGGACGTGCTGGCTCCTGTACACTCTCTGGGGGGACGTACTGGCTCCTGTACACTCTCTGGGGGACGTGCTGGCTCCTGTACACTCTCTGGGGGACGTGCTGGCTCCTGTACACTCTCTGGGGGACGTGCTGGCTCCTGTACACTCTCTGGGGGACGTGCTGGCTCCTGTACACTCTCTGGGGGGACGTACTGGCTCCTGTACACTCTCTGGGGGACGTACTGGCTCCTGTACACTCTCTGGGGGGACGTACTGGCTCCTGTACACTCTCTGGGGGACGTACTGGTTCCTGTACACTCTCTGGGGGACGTACGGGTTGCTGTACACTCTCTGGGGGACGTGCTGGCGCCTGTACACTCTCTGGGGGACGTACGGGTTGCTGTACACTCTCTGGGGGACGTGCTGGCGCCTGTACACTCTCTGGGGGACGTACGGGTAGCTGTACACTCTCTGGGGGACGTACTGCTCCTGTACACTCTCTGGGGGACGTACGGGTTGCTGTACACTCTCTGGGGGACGTACGGGTTGCTGTACACTCTCTGGGGGACGTACTGCTCCTGTACACTCTCTGGGGGACGTACGGGTTGCTGTACACTCTCTGGGGGACGTACTGCTCCTGTACACTCTCTGGGGGACGTACTGGCTCCTGTACATTCTGTTGGGGAGGTACTGGGTGCTGTACACTCTTTGGGGGACGTACTGGCTCCTGTACACTCTCTGGGGGGACGTACTGGCTCCTGTACACTCTCTGGGGGACATTCTGGCTCCTGTACACTCTCTGGGGGACATTCTGGCTCCTGTACACTCTCTGGGGGACATTCTGGCTCCTGTACACTCTCTGGGGGACATTCTGGCTCCTGTACACTCTCTGGGGGACATTCTGGCTCCTGTACACTCTCTGGGGGACATTCTGGCTCCTGTACACTCTCTGGGGGACATTCTGGCTCCCGTACACTCTCTGGGGGACATTCTGGCTCCTGTACACTCTCTGGGGGACATTCTGGCTCCTGTACACTCTCTGGGGGACATTCTGGCTCCTGTACACTCTCTGGGGGACATTCTGGCTCCTGTACACTCTCTGGGGGACGTACTGGTTGATGTACTCCGGAAGAACGTGCTGGTTGCTGGACACTCAGAAGAACACAGGTTGTTATAAGCCCATGAGCGGCCCTCCTCCTGGGATGCAGAGTGTAGGATTATAGCTAAGAACCTGAGGAGTAGAGTCGACATAACGATTCAACTACTGGTACTAAAGAGAGAAGGTGATTACCGACTTGTGACAGTCGATGGCAAGGGGGAGTAGATGGCAAGGGGGCAGTCGATGGTAAGGGGTAGTCGATGGCAAGGGGGCAGTCGATGGTAAGGGGGAGTCGATGGCAAGGGAGCAGTCGATGGCAAGGGGCAGTCGATGGCAAGGGAGCAGTCGATGGCAAGGGGGAGTCGATGGTAAGGGGGCAGTCGATGGTAAGGGGGAGTCGATGGCAAGGGGGCAGTCGATGGCAAGGGGGCAGTCGATGGCAAGGGGGAGTCGATGGCAAGGGGGCAGTCGATGGCAAGGGGCAGTCGATGGCAAGGGGGCAGTCGATGGCAAGGGGGCAGTCGATGGCAAGGGGGAGTCGATGGCAAGGGGGGAGTCGATGGCAAGGGGGCAGTCGATGGCAAGGGGGCAGTCGATGGCAAGGGGGAGTCGATGGCAAGGGGGCAGTCGATGGCAAGGGGCAGTCGATGGCAAGGGGCAGTCGATGGCAAGGGGGAGTCGATGGCAAGGGGGCAGTCGATGGCAAGGGGGCAGTCGATGGCAAGGGGGCAGTCGATGGCAAGGGGGCAGTCGATGGCAAGGGGGCAGTCGATGGCAAGGGGGAGTCGATGGCAAGGGGGCAGTCGATGGCAAGGGGGAGTCGATGGCAAGGGGGCAGTCGATGGCAAGGGGGAGTCGATGGCAAGGGGGCAGTCGATGGCAAGGGGCAGTCGATGGCAAGGGGCAGTCGATGGCAAGGGGGCAGTCGATGGCAAGGGGGCAGTCGATGGCAAGGGGCGAGTCGATAACCTGTCGCTGCGGATGGCTCGTGACAGAGTAGAATTGGTCAATTGGCCAGTTTCAGGGGACGGCCAATGGCAGGGAATGGAGTATCGTATTGAATGGCTTGTTACAGGGACTCTCCTTTGGAAGTAGATGGTCTGAGGTTGTGGTAAGCTGTTGGCAGTGCCACCTGTGCATGGTGGCAGTGACCACTGGAGAGCCTCTGGCACCTCTGGTATCTTTAGATATTTTGTTCCCTTTTTTTTTAAGTTAATTTCTATCACAGACGTGGCCATTCATTTACAACGCTAACCAGCACATTATCTTCTGTCGAGCATGGACAGGTTTAGATAGCATTGTGTTGAGTACTCAGCCACAGAAGGTGATTGAAGTGCTTTGACAATACTACCCAGCAAACATACACTCTTGTCTGTCTTACATAGACAGGGGTAGACATCTGTTCTCCTACAGATTGTGCAGTGCGTTATTGACCACTCAAACACAAAAGGCGATTGTAGTG